CGATTTTTTGTTGCATGTATGTGTGTGAGTCCGCCTGAAGTTCAGGTATATTCATATTTTATTATTTATGTATTCTTTTACAAAAGTGTTGAAGGATTAGCGTGTTGGTTTTGTGTGTATCCAGCCATGTGCGTGTGGCTGGCATGACCTTTTGGGTGTGGTCATGACTGTTATGTTGTCATGACTCCTGGTCTACTTGAAACAACATGGTGTGTCTCAACTCACACGAATATGCACATATTCATATATGTATAAAAGAAGAAAATTATCTACAAACATTTACTTCATTGGTAAGAACACTACTCACCTACCATTGGAGGTATGGACTTTCATAGTTATTTAAGTATTACTTAAGCTCCAGCGAAACTTAGAAACACGTCAGAATCGCCAACAATTGTGGAGAATTACGAAAAGATGAGGAAGCCAGTCGACATGTAATACTTAAGGGGGGACCTTTGGGGAAAGCCTGAGGTAATGGGCGAGTGTGAGAGGGTCAGGTAATGGGAATGAGGTAGGGAAGTTAAGCTTAAGGTACTTTGGTATGGAGAAACTTACAGAAATGGAATGGATTATGTATGGAGTCAAGAAACAGAATGTTAGGGCAACGAAGGTACTGGTGTGTCTCCAGGTACAATAGGCAGTTCCAGCATTAGCATCTGGGCATTTATTGACCAGCGAACGAGGCTCATTTCCATTATATGAGCAAATCAATTTATCTTCACATTTCGTTTATCTTTTCCATGTGGAATCTATTAATGACCAAGCTTCTTCGACGAAGAGTTCGGTTTTGTTTAACCTTCTTTGGTATGGAACTGCACAAATGAAATAAATTAAAATTGAAAAAGTGACAGAAAATGAGATGTAGAGCAGGAATAAGGGAGGCTTGTGAGAGTGGACAAATTACTCAGAACATATAATGAAGCACGTAACCAATGCCAGATTCTGAGCTAGAGACACAGGCAAACATAGTAAGAGAGAGAAAAAATGAAATGAAAAAACGAAATCAATAAGCAAGTCAAACAATGAATGCTTAAGCCAGGAAAGAGCGACGAAGCTAAGCAGATCATTAGTCTGCATGACAAATGACCCCAAAGCAAGAAATCACTAATGAAACCAGGGGTAAAAAGGGGTAATGCAGTCACGGCTCATAAAACTGCTAATGGAATGAACTTTGAATGCAGAGCTTAAAGAGAAACTTAACGTGAGGAACGGTTATCATCTGGCTGGAAATTCAGAGACCTAGATGATGGAGGGCGGGGGCACCAGGTGGATGAGCTGAACAGGAGATGAGAAGAAATGAGGTAGTGAGACTGGAGGGAGAACGTTTCGAGCGATGAGGAACTAATAGTATTTCTCGGTGTTCAGAGTCTCATGAGAGTGAAAGAGGGAGGAGTATGTGAAAGGTCGATCAGTTTTTCATCGGTTGTCGGAGGAGGAGTGTAAGCTTGTAAGCTGTTTCAGAGAAAAAAGGAGTGTACAAAGGAAATCATGATCAGGGCGAATGCTGCGGAGAAGCGTCGAGAGAGGGCACCAGTGCCACGTCAGCGGAGGCCCCCTGTGCCACCTGGGTGTAGCGGTGAGACCCTCCTGTGGGAGAGTTCGCCCGGCCCAGGGAAGGCCCTCGAAGGGAGCCTCCGCCTCGTGAGCCCAGCAGCGAGCGCGCAACGCTACCTGTGTCCACGATGACGTCCACGAGGTCCATGGACTTGGCGATGGCGTCGCGGAGGTTCACGTGGTGGAAGGAGACGATAGATCCTTCCCGCTTGGCTCTCTCGAGGGCCTCGCGCCGCTTGAGGGCCTTCTCGCGTCGCATCTGATTCTTGTAGAACTCGGCGAAGTTGTTGACGATGATGGGAATAGGCAGCGCAACGACCAGCACACCACAGATACAACACACGGACCCAATGACCTTGCCCAGGGGTGTGATAGGATACATGTCTCCGTACCCTACCGTCGTCATGGTAATACCCGCCCACCAGAAAGTCTCTGGGATACTTTTGTACACAGGATTTTCGTCTTTTTCCGCAAAGTAGCAGAGACTCGAAAAGATTAACACGCCCATAGCTAAAAACAACATCAACAAACCTAATTCCTTATATGAATTTTTCAGTGTGAAACCCAAACTTTGAAGACCCGTCGAATGTCGGGCTAGCTTAAGGATTCTGAGAATTCTCATGATTCTGAAGATTTGAACAATTCTTCTCACATCCTGGAACTGGTCTGTGTGTTTGTTGGATTCTATAAGGAACAAGGAAACAAAGTAGGGGAGGATGGCGAGTAAGTCTATAACGTTCATTGCCCCTTTAAAGAATTTCCACTTGTTGGGGCTTGCGGAGAACCGCAGAAGATACTCGAGTGTGAACCATGTGATACAAACGGCCTCCACCATGGCCAGTTTCTCATTGTCTCCTTGCTCCGGACCCTGAAAGCTCGGCACAGTGTTGAGCACGAGAGCGAGCGTGGACATGACGATGAAGATCACGGAGATCACAGCCAGCACCTGCGGAAACCAAGAACCGAAACCGTCACCCGAGTGCTCAGAGGCCCTAGCCGGGTTCCTCTCTCCTGTGGGGCCGACCTGCTCTTGGCCCTCCTGCCTGCGCCTGCGCCTCCGCCTCCTCCTCCTCCGTTCAGCTACTCCGAGGCAAACAGGCTCAGCAGGAGGGTACAGTGCCACCACCGCTAGGCCAGTGTTGCGAACAGGTGCTCCGTCAGCGTGTGTGCAAGACTATCAACAACTTCCCACAACTTTGCGAAATAAATAAAAAATCGCTTAAAAGGCCAAGACCACTAAAATGATATTGTGTACAATAGAGAGAAACTGGAATGTAAGTGGAAAGAATTTCAAAGAACACGAGATTTGTTCTTCGTTGCTGTCTGGAGAACATAGGAGACGCACAAAATGAATCCCAAATCCGTAGGTTCTTAATCAAACATAGTATGAGAAACTAGATTTTCACCGTTTACCTTCATTATGAAATTCATAAGTTAGTAATTTTCACTTCCATTACTATGTGTAATCGTTCCTCATCAACAATATGGTAGTGATTGCATAATAACATTTTTGTTGTTTACCTTAGTTTTCACCGTTACCGCATAATCCTTGTGTGGAATTCATGGCGAACAAGTTGCAGCAGGAACAACGAAGGGAAGAATAAGAAAACACACGAATATGCCGAAGGCCTTTTCGCTATTGCTTCGTCAAGGCCCTGGCAAAGCAATAGCAAAAAATGCCTTCGACAGATTCGTGTGTTTTCTTGTTCTTTCCTTCGTCTTTCCTGTTTATAATCCTTATATTTCTATCACCATTATTGATATTATCACTGTTATTACTTATGGTATTGCCATTATTGTTATAATCATTATCTTTATTATCATTATTATTATTGTTATTATTTTTATAATTTTTATTATTATTATTATTATTATTATTATTATTATTATTATTATTATTATGATTATGATTATGATTATTGTTATCATCATCATTATTATTATTATCATTATCATATTATTATCATTATCATTATTATCAATATATCTATTAATTTTATTACTTTATTATTATCATTATCATTATTATTACATTATTACTTTATTATTATCATTATCATTATTATTACATTATTACTTTATTATTATCATTATCATTATCACTGATATTGCTACTGTTGCTACTACTATTATCAGTATTGATATTGTTATTGTTGTAATTATTATCATTATTATTAATTATTGTTTTAAGTATTGTTATTAGTATTAGTCTTATCATTATTATAATTCTTAATATCATTATTAGTACTTTTATTATTATTATCATTATTATTATTGTTACTATTATTACTATCATTCTTATTGCTATATCAATCACCATTATTATTATTATTTATTATTATCTTCTACATTTACTTTCCTATTATTACTTATTTTATTCTTTGTCTGTTCAATTACTTATCGGGAGGCCAGTTATTCATCTACCTTATGCATATCCTCTAACAGTGCTGTCAAATTAATTATAGCATTAATTAATATTAATTATTTCACATCACGATAGTACAGTTATTATATTATCTTATTTATATTATTATTATTATTTTTGCATTATCAGATAATTTTAACACCTCCTCTTCCCATCTTGCATTCACTGCCATTATTAGCTGATTAGCGGTAGGGAAAGAATCTAATCGGGCGAATACCTCATTATTATTAACTGTTGTTGTTTATCATCATCATTTCATTTATTACTATTATTCCATCGATCATCGGCCTTATATTGTCTTTTATCTATCCTACATCAATTGGTATCTGTCCTCTCTACCAATCCCTGACTCTCTACAATTCTTACCTGCTATCACTTTCTAGCCCACTTACCCCCATTTTAGTCTCTCGCGATCTATGTCACTTTGCTCTACTATATTGTCTCTTATTTCTATTCCGGGAAATACTCATTATCATTCATCATCGACTAAATGTGACTTACTATTATTTCTATCTACAATATTATTAATTTACTTTTATCATTGTTGATGCTGCTTCTTTGTTTGCGTCTCACTTATCATTAACGTTTTTTTTTTCCTCATTGCCGTAATCAACATTTACATGTGCGAATTATCAATTTCAATTTTTTCATTATTCTAATTTATCTCTTAACTTAATTTGAGTCATCGAGGATCACTTACTTTAACTGTCGCTGTATTACGTAATGGATACATTATAATTAGTAACAAAATTGTAAACGATGCCTATTACTCAAAACTAATTTTTCTCGGTGGGCTCGATAATATATAAACTCTCGAATAATATTCATGTTCCGACTTCTATAATCACCATGATTCCATATCGGCATACTGTGGAACACTCTGGAAGTGAAGATAGCATTAATAATCGGATGAGTGTATAAGAATCGGTGATATTGGATCGAGATACATCTAATATTAATAATAACGAAATCCGTGCCTTTATAACAGCATTATGAATCTCGGAGTGACAGCGCGACATTTGATGAACAGTGATGTTAATTTTGAGAGACACTGGAATATTCTAAAAATACTCAATATGAGACATTCATTAAGTGATAAATTAAAAATATCAAAATAAATGTAATGCTAATATCAGAAGTAGATTATCACAAATAAAATTTTGATAAAAATGATGGCAACAGCAAATACAAGTGCATAACTCGACAATTATATTACGTAAAAACAGTAGGGTGATAATTGAAATTACTATGATGATAATGAAAATTGAATAATGAAACACGATAGATAGGAATTTTAATGACTGATAATGAAAAGAGATTGATGCTATTTATCCGAAGACAATGATTTAAGCGGTAAGTATGACAAAGAAACAATATTAAGTAATGAGGATGGCGATAACGATAATACCGATTGGAAAATGGATATAAAATAAATAAATGAGTAATTTGCTGTAGGAAAGGTCATAGTAATAATGATGTTGATGGGATATTACATGTAGTAATGATAATCTAATTATAAAATAGCGAATGAGGAATACATAATGATTAGGAGTAGAATATATTGGTAAATGACACATGATAGATAATAGAGACTCAAGCGAGTAAATAAAAAAAAAATACCTAACTTATATGATATATTGATAACAACTCATAGAGTACATAAGGAAATAGTATACATTATATTAGTATTGAGAATCTGATTCAGAGTGTGATAATAATGTATTACTGATAATAATAATAAGAGAGTAGAATGATTGATTACTCATTAGATAAACGAATGATAATGATGTATAAATCCAATAACAATAATTCAATTTGAACTATATCGTATCAATCAATTAGAATACCTGATAAAATGGGAGGGACTAAGATCATCCATGTAATATAATGTAAATGGTAATAATAATAGTATATTGTTTATATGATAATTATTCGTATGGAGACATGGGTTATATAGATAACAATAATGATGATAATGATAAATCAAATAAATGATAATGTGTTTAAGTAGTAAAAGTAGAAGAAATACGAGAGGTAGTATTGATAATAATACCCTTTTTTAAAGGAACAACGTCGTATGTTGATCGAAATATCTATTGTTGATTATTATATTATTATAAGGCTAGATTAGCTAAATATCTAGAGTTTGACGTATTATCTAATATTATATAATCATGGGAATGATAACTGGCATTAGATTTAAAAGTCTCATCATTTATGATATAATGGCAATATAACAACGGTTGGTATCCGAATTAACAACAAGAAATGATAACAGTAATGATCAATTAAACCAATGATGACATTAAATTTGTATAAACATATTATTCATATAACTGCATTATTTTGTTCTTATATCCAAATCATTATTGCCCATCATTGTTACTTGCGAATTACTATTTACTCCAATTTGTCCATCGTTAAAGCACAGAAGCTAATTCTATCCACAAGAACTACACCCACGCTATAGCCATTTGGGACAAGCTCATTCTTCATTTTTAAATTGTATTCAAAATATATATGTTAAATTTAGGACTATTTATCATATATCAAATGTTGTTATTTTATCGTCTGATAGCCTATCGAGGTATTGAGGTTTATTTATATATTTATTATAATATAAAATATTAATTTGCATATTCATTAATATCAACTCATTATATATAATATCATTCACTAATTCTATCATTTGTTCTTATTATATATTATTGTCATATATAGATTATATTATCATAATTAACTTATTGTTAATTTATCATTCCAACTCGTTGTTATGTTTACCCATTTCGAAAATACCGATTTTTGCGTTTTACACCAAACTTGTTTATTTTAATATCTAAATTATTGACTATTTTATTATTTATTACCAAAAGAAATTTTTATTATTACTATCATCATCACGCATTATCATCCATTCATATAAATCTGTATTTTATTTGAGAGCATTGAGTATTATTAGCGAAATGAGTTTAATTGTGTATATTATCATCATAGATTAATTACCACATGCACAGAGTCAATTCTGTCATTAGTAACAATATAAAATACCTTATGAAAACCATAATACATGATTAGAGTAAAGCATGAAGTAAAGAATATTGCAATTGGAGTTGATAATAGAACACTATAATAGTAATAGTATATTATTATGAGATAAGATTGAATAAAATATCACATATCCTTATATAACCGATACATTATAGGATGATGATGATAATAAAAGTGATAACAAATAATAATAGTAGTAAGAAAATATAAATATATAAATATAGTATTACTTCTAATTAAAAATAACAAGTGTAAATGGATAAATAATATTGTAAAGTTCTACACTAACTATGATAACTTAGTGATAATAACATTGAGGATAATGATGATCATATGAATAACACTATATAAGCATGGCTAGATGAAAGATAAACAGTAAATAAAAAAAGAAAACAAATACATGTAAATGGATATAATATCGACTGAATAAATTTTCTGCACTGATGATAATTAATATGATATAAACTCAATCA